TTGTAATACATTTTCGAATATATTTCAGTGTATGATAATATTTTACGTTAGCTATCTGATTAGATTAATAAGTCGAATACAAAACAATGGAAATATTTAAAGAATTTAAAAATATCATTGCATTATTCGCAACTCGATAAAATAATTAAAAAATGATAGAAATGTTTATTCAGCTTCCTTGTGCGGGCAACTTTTATTTTGTATAAAAATTCCGCAGTCTGCTGATGACAAATTTAAATTTCTATTAAAAATCTATCGAAATTCAAATTTATAATAAATATTCATATCATCAAATTTAAAGTTGTACTCAAATTTATAATACATTTTAGGATTATGTTTCAATGTATTATTAAAGATTCTGTCTACTATTGCGTCGCCTGATTAGATCAGTGGATCAAATAAAAAACGGTGGAGGCATTTTAAAAAGTTAAAAATACCATTGTATTGTTCGCAAAATAATTAAAGAATGACAGAAATGTTTATGCAGGCAATTTGTATTTTGCATAAAAATCTACAGTCTATTAGTAACAAATTTAAATCTCTATTAACAATTTATTGGAATTCAAATTTATAATAAAGATTCATATAGTTAAATTAAGCCAATAGTCAATTGAAAACTTCAAGTCGATTTTGACTACTTATTGGAATTAATTTTGCGGTTTCGATGAGTCTTGAATTACTCCGATTAAATTGTCAAGTAATAACTGAGTGTTAACTAATGTTTGGTGTTATCCAAGACAATTAATTCGCACATTATCTAAGAATTAAAATAATTTGTTTATTCATAGTTTGACTTTAATGTGGTCGCAATCGGGGTTAGGTTTTTTAACAAATACATTGCCGACTGATTCATTGTGTCGTTTTAAAATAAATCGATCGATTTTATTTTTCTATTAAATAACTCGTTTAATCAATATTTCAATTTCCTGTCTTGCCTCGCCTAATTAGGAAATTAAATTCATTTAAATGCAATCTCTTTTTGAAATGAATTAATTAACCATAAAGTGAGAAATTGTTTATAGTAAATAATACTAATTGTATAATAATCATTAATTAATTGACGAGCATCTCGTTATCTAATTATTTAAATCAGTGCAAGAAGAAATCTACTTGAAGTAAAAACAATGAGAAGCAGTGGAATGATTTACTGGTAATTACGATTAACTTAAGTTCGACAGTCAATTAAAAGCGAACTTCGACGTACGTCAGTTGAAACCGATAAGTATGCCAAGTTTACTATATCAAAAATAAAATCTAACCTAATAGTATTTTATCCTCAATGTATACCTACGGTAACGAACGTAAATTTAAGACGACGATGAATTTTAATTTGTTTCGCTTTGAAATTTACAGGTACATGTTCCACTTTCTTAATCTCAAACATAGTGCTGCTAAATTTAAGCAAGACACTTGTTTTTATGTTTCTGGTCTCCTGACTTCGACGAACGGCGGGCTACAATCGCCGGACATCCGTTCCGGTGGATGTAGAATAAAATAGAATCGATCTTCTGAAGGTTTACAAATTATGGCGTTCGTCAGTAGAAGAATTTCGTAGTTTACTGTCGATATTCTTGTAGAGCGTGATCATACGAGTTAAATGAGTACAATGACCGTACAATTGTGATCATTCAGTTCTGAGATACTTGGGTCTGAAAGCTGACTAGCTAATCTTTCAGACGCAACTATGTCAAGGTTAAATGATCGAAACTATATGTTCATTATACTTGTTGGGTTCGTCTTCCGATGCTCCGTAAGAATATCGATAACAATGTACAGGGTGTCTTATAAAAATCCGTCGGAAATTCAAATTAAAAAAACTAATTAAGAAACACCAGGAATTGATTCTCCATCTGCCGTGCTAAATTGCATCTTGCTTGTTTTTAGAATGATATAATCACCACGTGATATTATTCGAATTAACTGACACAAATCCTTTTTTTAGCAAAAATAGAGGAACTGTTGAAATGTTGTCTGTTAAAATCGAAGGTGCTGCCATTATTATTATTATCATAGTAATAAAAATATTAAAATTGCCTGTGTGTTATTATAATAATGATATTAATATTCTTATTCCAATAATATTATTATTAATCGTAATATTGTAATATAATATTTTTATTATACCAATAGTACACAGATAGTTATATCATTACTATAATAATATTAATATTCTTCTAATAATAATAATTCATGTGGAGAATTTTATAATATTATTACTATAATAATAATAGCAGCACCTTCGATTTTAGGGTTTTCCCTATATTTGCTGAAAAATAATTTGTATTATAATATAATAATAATAGTATAATAATATATATAATAATATATAATAATATATAATAATAATATATAATAATATATAATAATATATAATAATAATATAATAATATTATAATAATATTACACCAACA